TTTCAGGATAAAGACAAAAGGTGAAGATAGAAATGGAATATTTTGGTTTTGGTTTTTTTTAGATGTGCTATTAATATAAATGAATTTAAGTTTGAGAAAGTGCAGTTAATTTCAAGTCAGTAGAATGTGATCTGATGAAATCAGGACAAAGGAATTTGGAGTTTTAGGTTGGGAAATAGGGATCCATCTGGGAACATGGAATTGTGGTAAATTTTACGGAAGCATAATTGACTCTTACAATGGATGAATTACTAAAGATAAAAATGTAGTGAGAAAAAAAAACTACAATAAAAATGAACCCTTAGATTGCCTAGGCTGTTAATATTAAGAGCTACTGAGTTTTGTTTGGTTATTGGTTTGAAAGTGCCATATGGATTCTGAGTTTTGTGAAGTTCATCCCTAGTAGAAGGGTTTTTGCTTGCACATATTCAAATAGAACCCTGGATTCCATAAACCCTAAGTAAACCTTAAGTAAATCTAGCACTGCTGTATGTTTGCATGCCCCAGAAAGATCATCAGACTCCTCTTTCACTCACTGACTCCATGCTTACTTAGAGGCTTGGCTTCTTTTCCTGTCTGGGTGGGATTTTCATTTCCTAAGCCATATATCTGACTGTCTTAAACGCAGTCTTGCAGCTGCAAATTGCTGTATATGGCAGTAGTGCTACTTTAGATTCACGAAGAGCGACAGTGCTAATGACAGTTTTTCCCAAGGTGTTTACAGAGTCATTCGTTGGTTTGCATCTGTTTGGCATTTCCAAAACAAGGAAGTTATTTACATTTTTCTATTAACATTTCCAAAAGTATTCTTTTTTTCTCTTTTCTTTGTACTAAGGATGGCAGAATATTTGGGAAAGAACCTAAAAGTGTCGCTAATCATCCTTAGTTGCCAGACTGTTTTATATTCCTTGTCCTTCAGTCTATAAAAATATTTGTCTTTTTAGCATGTGAGATATAATATTTCATTAGGAAGCTTTATTTTGAAGGCAGATTTTTAAGTAGCCTGAGTCACTAATGTATTATGTATCTGAAAACCTAGTGGAGAAGAGAATACAGATTTGTGGTGTTCAAATTTCCCCATTCTCTGTCTCCTGTATCTTTTGGGATGGTTAAATATTTAAGCCATGCTGCTGATGAAGAGAGGACTGTGACATTGTGATGTAACACTAGTGATCATGAAATGACCATCTTTTTCTCTCTATGGTGCTCTGCTTTCAATAGTGATAATGACCTGGCAAAACACTGAAATGACATAGTTTTTTTTTTTTTTTTTAATCATCATACAGCTTTAGATATTTATAACTAAAATCTCATCTCATTGACTCATGCATTGTTTGGAAATGACACAAGGATACTTCTGGTGTTGATTCAGTCAAATTTATTGTTCAGTTGCTTCCTGTATTGGGTGTAGTTTTGCATTGTGTGTGGTGGGATGAGGAACTGGGGAGACAGGATGAGAGGCTGAAATATGTCTGAGATTTTTCTTGAGTCCAGATCAACCTGTGATGGTCTATTATGGAATCATAGATATGATTAGAACTTGGGGTTTAGGTGTTAATATTATGGGATGAGTGTTAGAAACCAACCTTTTGTTTTATAGCACAACAAATTGACATCCAAAGAAATGAAATTATCAGCACTTGGTCATGTAACTAATTAGTAGGTGAGATAGAATTAGAATTTGGATTTCTTAGTCCCTCGCTCAGCACTGTCTTCAATAGACCCTCGATATAATGTAATGACTTTCCAGTGGCTAAAATGCAATAGGATTTTGGTAATGAATAATGAGTTCAACTTCTAAGTTTTGCCAACCTATTGGGTAATAAGTTAAAAGCAAAATTAAGCATTTGAGAATTTTTTTTACCTAAATCTCTATGAAGTTCATATTTTAAATAATCTTTGGCTACATGAAATAAATATTTCACTTGTGACTCTCCCAATTGAAAAAAGTTGTTGATACCTGTATTCTTCATGTGGTTAATGGTTATGGAATAAACAAGAAATGGTTTCTATATTTTACATTCTAATTCAGTGACAGAGTGAACCATGCTTTGGTGCCTGGATTCGGTTTGAATTTGTTTATTAACTCAGTCTTTCACAAATCTCAGATAAGGAGACATACCAAGCTACTCAAAAGCGCTACTACCGACCTAATATGATTTTAAGGGAAAGTGACTTTACGATTGTGTACTATCTCTAGATTAAACAAACTCCTTTGTTTAACTCCTCTCAGGCACTGAGATAAAGGGACTATAGGATATAAAAAGGAAACCCAAAAGGAAAAAAAAAATTATTGTCATAATAGCCAAGTACTTTAAAAAAGGGATAGAGCTATAGCTCAGATATTTAATCCTATCTTGTATTTCTTATTTATCTATTTAGTCATTTTGAAAGGTTCATTTGTATTGCAGTAGTTATAGATTAGTGTGCTGTACAATACTAGAAATGTGGGCTTCATTTCATGTGATTTGTTGTGTTAAGTCTGTATCTTTGGTGAGCATTTAATCACAAAGGCATGTGCTATGGTTTTGTATACTCTTTTATTTTTTTACTGTAATCTTGGATATTGCAGTAACATTTCTGGAGACAACCAGTTTAAATATAAATTGATACTTTTATGGCAATAGCAACTCTGTTTACACTAATACTGCAGCTTTACTATACAGGGATGAAGAAGTGGGAAGAAGTAGCAGCCGCCTTGGTACGGCAGTGTGCCAAACACTTAGAACACTAGCCATCTCACAGAGCTTAATGCTGATGGGAAAGTTTGAGCTGGGAAAGAGGAAAACAAAGCTTCTGTGCTTTTTCCCACTCAGACCAAGAGATCCTACGTGTAACCATTATGTCATGTAACAGTGTTTCACACAGCTGAAAGAGTCTGTGAAGGGCCAGGGATGGAGCTCAGCAGCACAAGGCCTGCCTGGCAAGCACAGGTTATGAGTTCAATCACTGATACAAAACTGAAAAAGAGTGTGAAGAATTTGCCTGCTGCTTCAAATCATGTAGCTCTACATCCCTTTTTGTCAGTGACAAAAATTAGACTGTTACAAATGGAATTTGCATTGCTAGAAAATAAGCTAGCTTAGTTTGTTTGTGCAAAAGTATTTAAACAACTTCTTTTGAGGAGAAAAAGTTAACTTACTCTGTTGTAGACAATCAGTTTTGGGGAAGAGACCTGCAAATCTCTAGAAAAAAAAAAGCTATTCATAGTGCCAGGAAGAGTTCCTGTTAAGCTATTTAATTAAAAGGCATTGAAGAATTATACAGAGGTAAACCACAGTATGACACGTGACAAGATGTTATGTCACATTTAAATGGGAAATGGTTTAGTGAATTAAAGCCATGTCAGCATTGGAGCTATGACAGCTTTCTACAATACTGCAGAACATACTGTCATCTGTATATGCATCTTCTTTGTGATGAATGTTTGATATTTTCACATGCAATTTTAAAAATTCAATCAATGTGAATCAATTGTGATTGCCACTGATTCTAAAATTACCAAAGCATTGTACTTCCTATAATAAATACACTGTTTAACAATAATTCACTTTTCTTTTTTCTGTCTATCATCTTTATTTCTTTCAAACTATGACATTACTTGTGTACTTATCACCAGGATTTTTCTATTCCATTTTCCTTAAAACATAATCCAAGTGTGCATTTTAATTTGTACACTTCATTTTATTAGAAAAACCTATCATAATCTAATAACATAACTGTTTCATTTTTACTTACATTATTCATTATTTTATTTTAAGTAGTGATTGATAAACTACTTATACTAGCTTTATTATTTCAATTTTTTTGTCTGTTTTTCTTTCCAGCAATCAAATCCAGAGCTATGTCAGCCAGGTGCTGCACCACTGAGCTATATCCCAAGCCCCATACTATTCCTGTTTTTTAATACCTCTTATAATAATAAAGCAGCAGCAGTTAATAGAAATTGTTAGAAATAAATACACCATTGGAATTAAGATTAAAGTTAAAAACAAATTTCAGGAAAGAATATGATTAATAAGGAAAATGAAGTATCATGTGACCAGTGTCAGTCACTTAAACTTAGGAAGATGTTACAGGAGCACATCAGACTGCTATGTATATGCTATCTATTTTCACAGTAAGGCTCAAGAAAAATATTATGTGTGATGATGTTCCCATGGTATAAATGGCGCCCGTCACTTGGTGGATGAAACTGGAGAATCTTAGTGTTGCGGCTTGTTAATTTTATCTTTGTGTTCCTTATCGTTATCAACCGTGAGAGTTTTATGTTGATGAAAATAATGATGAAAATCTTAGTAATAAGCTTCCTCGTTAAATATAAAGTGACCAATATTCCTCAAGGAAACAGAACCCTGGGACTGCCACTTGTCACTGTGGAAAGTCTTACTATCCTTCTAAATCTGTAGAAGTAAGAGGTTGGACTAGATGAACTAAAGTGTAAATTCTGCTGTGCACGAACCTTAATGTATGTTTGCTAAGTGAGAATCTTCTTGACTTTCTCTGCTAGGAAGAAAAATCATTAAGGAAAATGTTCCAGGTCAGATTTTATAGGCAGTGGCCCAGCTGTAGAAGAATGCATAGTGCTCAGTTTCTTTGCTGTTTTATTTAGCTAGATTTCTGACGTAGACACAGACACTATCTCATGCAGATAGCATAGGTGGACCATGGTTTATGGTTTTGTAGAGGTCAGACAGATTTGAATGGGACATTGATCTATTACACAATATTCTTTCTTCAAGACTGCTCCTGATTACCCTTAGTAGGATCACCTTGATGAGGTAGTGTTTGATGATTCATGGCTTATATCATGAATCTAGGTAATTTTCATTCAAAATTTAAACAAAAACAGCACTAGTAGCATGTTTTACTGTGTTTTGAATACTAAAGTTTAAAACAAAGTAAACAGCAGTGTTACTGGTTTTTAGAAACAAGCATAATCTGGACATGTTTGAGAGACAAGACTCTCACTTTTATAACTCATTGATTTCTGTTTGCAGGACTTCAGATGGTGGCAAAGTGGTTGGCACCATAGAAGTCATTGTCGTGAAGATGGGGGAGATTGAAGATGGGGAAGCTGACCACATCACAACAGATGTACAGGGACAAAAGGTAGACTCTCTGTCAGCCCTTTGTACAAATTAAATTAGAAATGATCATCTTCGCTGCATGCCTTTATCACTCGCACTCTGTGGGGGTTTGAGATCTCATTATTTAAAACCTGTATGAGAAATTGACTCTGGAATTGGAGTACAATGTGTGTGTCTCATTCTCTGAGCCAGAGGGCCTTTTTGCATGGAACTGGGGAAATCTACGCACCACTCAGAAATACCTTTCTCTTTGCTTATTGCCTCTCTTCATTTGGAATGAAAATGTTGATCATTGTTGCATTTGCTAGGATTAACCTTGCAGGAGATGGACCAAACATTTTTGGGGTAGTATGGCCCAAAGTAACCTACTCTATTTCCAAAACCATTTTTTTTAAAAAAAGGTGCAATTTTAATTTGGATTTTATGTTATGCATAGGAGGGAAGATTTTACAGGAACTTTGTGCCTTATGAGTTTGCAAAGAGAGAGGCAGGAAACAGAGTATAGCAGAGGCACAGCTCTGGAGGATGGGCTGTGCCCACTGTAATGAAGCTGCTTATTTCGAAGCCCAGGAGTAATGCATATAAACATGTGCCCACGAATGTTTCTTTGTGCTGCCTTTTCTCTGGGGATGAAAAACCTCGTATAAATATAAGCCTGAATTTCTTTCTTCGGAATGAAGTTGCCTACTTTATTGAAGCAGTTGAGACACATAGGGAAGACTTAAAAACTGCTAGTAATTTTTTTAAACAATAGGGTTATTATATTGTACTGTAATTTCTGGCTTTTCATCAAGGAGAAGTTTTAAGTGATAAGTACTACTGAATCATTGTCTGGTTTGTTGTTTCTTATCTTGTTGCATGTTTAATTTTGCTACTAACAAAATATCCAAATGGGAGATGGTGTTTATCCATCAGTTACCAAATAACCAATGTTATAAAAGGTCAAAGACTATCTTACAAAAACATATTTCAGAAATATATATTTCATATCATATTAGATTTCTCCAGTCTTTGGTCTATGTTTTGCCACCTTCCCTTGGAATACTACCACATACCATGAAAATTGTTCAAGGAAACCTAAAGTTGCAATCAGGGAGTTTGCAAATGTCAGGGCCTCTTTGGGCTTGTCCACTCAAGACGCCTGTTTTGAGACTTGATCTCTTAATTCCAGCCTTGTTCCCTTTAGAGTCCATGCAAGATTCACCTTTGTAAACACCACATGAATTATTCTTATATTAAGATGAACCAAGAGAGGATTTGGATGCTAAGTAGGGGACTGAGTGTGGAAGCTGATAGACCTTTACGCCTGTGTCTGCAGCCGTAGAGCAGGAGACCAATAATAGAAACACTTCCTGTTTCAAAGCAGAGCTGTTTCCTCTGACTGTGAGTCTATCCCTAACTACTGATCCATTCGCCTCACAGCCCACAACCTCTTGACTAAACACTGACACTATTATAGGGTAGGGCAAACTGAACCATGCTCCTTTTATAAGTCAAGAACATGATACCACCAAAGTCCTACATGAAATTTTTGGCTTAGTAATGTGAACTTTATAGATATAACAGAGCTATTCTAGAAATAGAAGGTGGCAGAAGCAGTACACACTTTGAGAATGAGTCATAAGTTGACAAAAAATGGTAAACACACCAAATATTTTTGGCATCAATTATGTCCTGTCTGGATATTTAGTGTACCTTGATCTTTTGATTTAAAAAACTGTTTTAGAAACTATCTTGGCAGTCTCTAAGAATATTCATGTTTGAGAAAAGAACATAGAGAAAGATCTGATATGCAAGATTTTACAAGAAATTTAAGGAAGTAACTTTGTCTTAGTGTTTTTAAAGCATGGTCCCAATCATTAGGGGTACTTTTTTAGAAATGCAAATGCATGAATTCTTCTGCTAATTCAAAATCCCTTTGAAGTGTTTTAATACAATCTGTAGAGTGAATGACATACATGAAAAGAGAGAATAACTGAAATAGAAATTATTCCTAAAATAATATCCCATTTACTGGTTTGCATAATTTATACAGAACAGAGCAGAACTTCTTTTATGTGCCCTGGAAGTGACACATGTCATCTCTTGTGTAGATTAAAGAAGATAAAAGAATGATTCTTGTATTAGTGAATGTGGACTACCATTTAAAAATACCATATGGGGTAGTTTAAACAATAGGAATATATTTTTATATAGTTTTGGAGGCTAATAAAACTCAGATCCATATATTAGTCATTTAGGTTCTGAGTGAGAAATTATCCACGTTAGTCAATGTAAGTGTTTTTTGAATGTTTTCTGTTTATGTATCATGCATCTAAATCTTCTGAGCATTCTGAATGATAGAGGTGTTTAAATTGCCAAAGTAGAATGTTATTGGGTTGAAATTGTCCTATCTGCCTTTGAAGTTTGGTGAATGATGCAATCACATTTTGATACCTACCTTGTAAAGCAGTACAGACCTTCCTTAGGCACTGTAAAACTTTCTTTGATTATACAAAGAGTCAGGGCTTTCTCCAGATAGGAAACCACTGTCTCAGAATCATGACTTGTTCCCTGTGAATGATGGGCTTCATTAAAAAGGTTCAGTATAAACCTGTAACTTATGTCATTGATGATGATGTTCTTTGAGAAAAAGGATAGTTCATAGCTGTATTTCTAATTATTACACGGACACGTGTCAGGAATGATTATGAAAGATCTCCAAACTAGTTTTGAAACTATCAGATTTGATTTGTCAGCAAACAGCCATTGTATATGCTGTAGTAGCATGCTGACATGATGAATATAGTGTTTATGGATGATTATTTTAACAGCTTTGTATAGCCTTAAGGGAGTAGAGGAAACACTGGAAATGGAAGAAATAATGAATTTTAAGTATGTCCAAACATCAGTGCACATTGCCTCAGAGTTTTGAAAAATGAAATTCCATACTAGCTGTGGATTCAAAGAAGGAAACCACCTGTGAGTTCTATTGGGTCTAAAAATTAATAAAAGAGAATTAGAATTTTAGAGCGGGCATTCATATTTTGAGTGATCTAGGATCTCATGAAAGACTATTAAAGTACATTTTTTGCCCATCAATAAATTGACTCAGTAATATGATGAATGACACAATAGAGAAATTAGTAGACTGTAAGAAAGTAACATTTAAATAAAAGCTTTGAATTACTTGCCATTCTCCTTGAAATTTTTAAGTAGCAGATACGTTCTAGCCTAAATAATGGGCTCAGTGTCTGATTCTCAAGGGGACCTGCCCTGGAGGAAGAAAGACATAGACAGGTGGGGCACATAATATCTATAGCCTTGGGAATTCTTGAAGTAGCCTTGGGTTGACCTCTGGAGGATGGCAGTCTGAACCCCTGGGTTCTCTGGAGCAGAACTATATAGAACATGCAGAACATACTCGTGTCGCTTTATCTCTCTCATCCTGAAGACTTGTAGCCCTCTGTGTGTTTTGTTTACTTTTATTTGTATATCTCTGTTGTGGTTTTTTTTGTGAAAAGTGACTCCATGGCACACTTTTGGCTAGAGGTGAAGGAGGGAAATGCTAGCTCTTCCAGTGTAAAAACTGGTCTCTTCTCAACCTCCCGGGGCCAGGAAATCCTTGTGTCCTATGTAAGTTATAGTTTCATAGACAGCTGAATGAGACTGCCATGCAAAGGGATGGATTTTTCTGGAACATTCTCTTCCATCATGCCTCAGTCTGTACAAAAGTTCAATGTACGCTTCTAGGTGCTTTTCTTCTTCCCATCCAGAGTCATGAATTTAATCTATTAATTGTGGAGCCAGGAGATCGCCATATTTATAAATGGTCTTATACATTATGAACAAGGATTTATATTGTTTTGCTGAAGACAAAAATGTTTTGGTCCTACATAATTAGACATTTTGACATATGTTATCTTTAACTTAAAATTTCCTTTAGTCAAAGTTTAGAAAATAAATTGTCTTCTATTGGTCTGAAATTCACCCAGGTAAAAGAAATGTTAACAATTCTGCCTGTTAAATATGATTCAGTGTAGTAAGAACTTATATCTGGCAAATGAGGGACAATCCTTTTTCCTTTTTTTACATTCTTTCTCGAGTAGTCTCCAGCCACAACTGAAACCCAGTCTCTAATTAGATAATAAAAACATATTACAGGGCACCTCATGAAGTTCACAAACACTTTGATTTGCAAACAATTTAGTATCAGTTAGCCATCAGGTATCAAACAGGACCATGGCCATCTTCACCAGACAAACACAATTGTGGGCATCTTTTCCAAAATTGTAGAACAACTTAACTTTGTGAACTTACATGCCAAATATATATATATATATATATATATATATATATATATATATATATAAAACCATAAGTTAAACAAGCTTCATAGTAAAGATGAGGATGGAAACAGTTTTACAAAAAAATGATTTTTATAAATTTCTTGAAACCATGTGTATAGCCTTGTGTTTTTGTAAGCAAAATTTTGTTTCAATTATTTTTTGTTTTATTTTTTCCCAGTGTGCACTGGTATATGAATGTACGGCCCCAGAAAGTGTGAGCGGGAAGGACAACTTATCTTTTTTGAATGCAGGTATGGAATGCAGTTTTGGGTAGTTATGTTAATGTCACGTGAGCATACATTTTAATTTTCTATAAATTCAACACTGAACCAGAGCAGTATTCTGACAGCACTATTTATGAGCACTTATTAAGTGAACTGGTAAATCAGATAAAGCCATCAGAATGGGGACAAATTATACAATTCCATAACCAAGATGTTTACACCTTTAGTTATATGGCAGATCAAGAAAATAACTTTTGGTTATTGAATTGAATATTTTCTGAAAAAGAAATACTAGAAGAAAGACTAAGAAATAGAAATGTGAAGTTTTTATTCAGTTTCACTTGCTAATCATATACTTCAAAAAGGAAGATTTAATACATATATAAATTAGGTAGGAAAAATTCATAATTACATTTGTATATTCCTCAGTGTATATCTGTATATAGTGTTACTGATAGTAATGTACTTTGGCTTAAACAAGACATTAAACAATGTATCAAAAATATGTATGAGTAAAATTCATATATATTTCACAGTTAGATATATGTGAAATTATGAATATATAAAACAAAAATAATTTGGAATGATAAGATAAATGTCATGATAATGATATTGAATAGTGACTACTACAGTGCCAGTATACTAAATGAATTATATGCAATGTTTTAAAAAGTCCTATTATATATATATATATATATATATATATATATAATATTAATATCAACATTTTACAGGTGAGTACATTTGTCACTGTCCCCTATCTTACACATTGGAGCAGGTCCCGAACTTAAGCCTGTTTTGATACTCTTAAGTGCTAGGCTGTATTAAGAAACCACTAATTACAGACTTGCTGTCATAGGACAATAAATCTTACTTTTTTTATTGTCCTTCATGTAATACATTTATACAGTGACAAGGGTAGCATGAAATTCAGATTAATGAATGGTACAAAACTTCAAGGTCTTACTAATGCATAATACCTATGTTATTCACTATTCACTCTGCAAGAGGCAGCTACGAATAGGAAGTGAAGGAAAGCACCCATCTGTTTATACACACAAAGAAACTGACTTTATTTCATAAATATGTAAAAATAACAATTCTACCAATACAGAACCAGGAGACATACTGCAAAAACGGATAGCTGATTCTGAACCTATGACCAAATATCATGGAATTTTTTGATGCTTATTTTTGAATATTTAATATCAGACGAGATGAGCATTAAACAATGTTGAAGGTGTTACTCAGACAACTAGATTTTCTATGTACTATAAAAGTACCTGATAAACTACAATATGGTAAAAATATATAAGGCATTCTCAAAGGCTCCACTTCATATTTATGTTTTCACATCAAAATTTGCTAAACCCATATCCTTTATTTTACTATGTTCAAGTAGTCGACTTCATTCATTAAACGTCAATTTTGAAAAATAAATTTGAGTGTGGTAGATATTAAATTCATGTTGAATACAGTTTGAATGACTAAGGTTATCACTCAAATAATCACTACTGTAATTATAAGATAATTTTTAATGATCCATTCCTGTGAACCTTGTAATTTTTATCACATTAAAAAGAGATGCCATTTTAAAATACTGATTGGTAAATTATAAATTTCAAAGAGAAAGAGCTTATTTATTCTCTAAGTAAGCAAATATGTTTTTAAAGGAAGAAGAAACAACTAAAACATATCAAAAGTAAATCCATACCTCCTGAACATATAATGAGTCCAAAGTCTGTAAGAAATGATTGTGGAAGCCATATCACCCCTTAGATTCTCAGTTGCTATTTGTTATATGTGGAGTATAATATGATAACAGTGTAGATGGAATTAATGTGAGCAGACGCAGTCTGCAGCTTGGGTACACGTGCTAGAATGAAAGATCATATGTTATTGATTTCCTGCTTAATAGAGGTAACAGTTTGTATGGGGATACTCCACTTAGATTTGAAGACATTTCTGATTTTTTTTTCAGAATAAGATTTATATGTGTACTTCTTAGTACAAGTTTTCAGTACATAATGATTATATTTATTGCTGAGAATTGGTACATGTAGATCATATAACTCAATTTTTTTCCTTCCCCTCCAACCCCCTCTTTTTGCAAGAATCAGATTAATTTGATGGGCATTTCAGCTGTTTGCAAGATATAGTTATATAGTTGCAAGATTTAGTTATTACAAGATATGCCACTATAAATATGGGTTTATACATATCATTATGATATTTTATTTTTAATTATTTTTCCCATCAACCAAGGAATGGATGAAAAGTTGTTTTATTTTTCTACAGTGGCGTACTACTCAGCCATAAAAAGAATAAATTTAGCTATTTTTTATTTTTTGAGAAGATACTAAGAAGAGGGATAGCTAACTCAAATGGAACCTCTAGGTTTGGTTTTTGAGGAATCTCCACACTGATTTCCACAGTGGCTGCACCAGTTTAAATTCCCATAGACAGTAGAGAAGGGCTCCTTTTCCCCCAAATCCCTTCTAGCATTTCTTACTGACTTCTTGATGTAGTCATTCTTCCTTGAGTGATATGGAATCTCAGTGTCTTAATTTTCATCTCTTGAATGACTAAAAATGTAGAAAATTTTTCAAATATTTATTTTCCACTTCTACTTCTTCATCTTAGAAGTGTGTATTCATTTCAAATGCTCATTTTTGGTTTGGGTTTTTAAAGTTGGAGGAGTTGGGATTTTTTGGTTCCTTATATATTTTTAATATTAGTCCCTTATCTGAAGAACAACTGGAAATCTTTTCTCCACTCAATGGGTTTTGTCTCTTCCCTCTGTGAAGATTTATTTTGCTGTGCAAAAGATTTTCAGTAAGATGAGATCCCAGATGTTGATTATCTGTAGTATTTCCCTTCTGATCAGAGTTTTGTTCATAAAGCTTTGCCTACACCAATGTCTTCAAGAGTTCTACCTCTTCTTTCTTCCAGATTTAGTGTTTCTGTTTTAATATTTAGATCTTTGATCTATTTAGAGCTTAGTTTAGTGAAAGACAAGTCACATGGGTCTATTTTTTTCTTCAGCATGTGGAAAGCCAGTTTTTGCAGTATCACTTATTAAAGAAGCTATCTTATTTCCAATGAAGGCTTTTGGCTCCTTTTGAAGATAAAGAGACTTGAGTATGTTAAGAGTTGCTTCTGATCTTCTAATCTGTTCCATTGATCCTCAGGGCTGATTGTTTTTAGTCCAGGCAATCCTGGAAGAGGACTCAGGACTTTTTTTTTTAGTCATTTTGTATTATGGAAAATCAGACTAAATGGAGGTCAGTGTCATAAAGTCTGGAATATGTGAATGATTTCAAAAATACAGACCAAGCGTTGTACATAAAGTAATATCTCTGTTGAAAATAAAACATTGAACAGGTATAAAATATGTATGACTCTGGCTTGTGTATACCTTTTGTCTTTTGTTTGTTTATTTATCTCTCTACACTCAGCGACTTTGGAATGAACCCATTAAATTCCCACATGGTATTATTAGTTTTTAATCTGTAGGCAAAGGGAGCTATTGACATTCTTCTCAAGGCTTTGTATTCATGTATTATATAGAACTTACCAGTCTCAAGTGAGTTAGGAAGTACTCATTGACTGAGTGGGAGACAATGTCGTATTTCATAGCACCTCTCCACTATTATAGTTATACCTCTGGAGGTTTTCTTTGTAATTGATTGTAAAAAGAAGAGGCTCCTTGCCCTCAAGTCTCACCCTTTTCATCGCCTTTTAGTTCCCAAGTTGAATGTGTCTTTTGGGCATCTGGAGAATGGAAGGCCAAGTAAGAGGAAAGATGAAGAGGAGGAGTGAGAGAGAAATTTATAATTAGGTGAGCCTGAGAAATATCTAGACTACCTTAGTTACATGGGAAACTGACAAGGTACTAGAGGATATTATAAGTGATATATAGATATAGATATGTACATAGATACTATATATATATATGAAAATCTTACAGAGTTTGACTAACTGCACAGCTTAGAAAATTGTTAAAACATAAAATTGCCTCTAATTATTTATTTGTTCACTTAAGCAAAATGGTAATAAGAAAGTATAAAACTGTCTGATGTTGGAGGACAGGGAACCTAGGATCCTAGTTCTAAGTGTAGGGCAGTATAGATTGTGAAGTATCTCACATGGCCATGCATTTTAATGCTCCTGTTTAGTCACAGCAACAGTTTTCTGATCTGCAGTCTAGAAGCTCATAGCAGAAAGCATGCAGGCTGCCAGAAAAAGCAGTGTGGAAGCCTAGATTTTCCTAGCAGAAATGTGAACTTGATAGACAACTGAGTTTCTCTGGGTGTTATGATTTGGATATGAAGTCTCCCCAAGTGCTCATGGGTTGCAGGCTTGATGCCCAATACAGCTACGTTTGGTGGTGGTGCCTACAGAGGTACTTGATCATGAAGGCTCACTGTTCATGGACTCTTAGGAAGTGAAAGCTGCTAGGAAGAGGTGTGCTCTGGAGGAGGGTAGGTCTTGTCCCTGGCTCCTGCCTCCCTCTCTGGTGGAGTAAGCAGTTTTGCTTTGTCATGCCCTTCTGAAGTAGTGTTATACCTCATCACAGGCTCAGAAACAATGGAGCCAGCTGTCTAAGAACCTTTCTTTTTGTAGTGAAATGTCTGCAGTTTTGAGTGCAAGTAAATCTTTTCCCCTCTGAGTTGATTTTCTCAGATGTTTTTGTTACAGCAACAGAAAAATATCTAACACACACATCAGTGGTCAAATGAATATGCACAGTCTTTGAGCTCCCTACTGGCTCTCAGATGTTTGAAGTGGATGTGATATCATTTAGCTTTCCCTATGAAAACAACATAATACAAAAAAATACTCATTTCAATCAGATACACATGCCAATTCTTTATTATTTACAATATTCTTTCTCTGAGTTATCAGTTAAAGCCAGAAAGCTTGACTGGAGATAAAACTTTTAAAACTTCATTGAGATGATAATTTGTACAATCAAAACTTTAAAGAGTTTCCCCGCCCATGAATCTTTGTGTCAGGTTCTCAAATCACAGGAATAAATGGGCCCTGTCACAAAATGTGTTATTGTTGTCCCATCGTAACTGCATTGATATACTGACCATTATGTACAGTATCAGAGACCTCTGAGACTGTCACATAAATATTAGAGAGAAGATATTAGATTTTTTAGCCTGATTAAGTTGCCTGACATTTGATTATTTCACTCAAATGTTTCATCTAAAAAAAAAAAAATTCCCAGAGTGTTTGAACTAATGGTCATAGGAGAGTTCCAGAGCTCATTAATCAAACTGCCCTTGATTTCTACCAAAGCTATTTCAACAAAGGTTTTATATTTGGAGCACATCAAAAGCTTTGAAATGAAAAACAACAAAGGCTGTTAAATGACTTGTTTTAGGATCCACAGAGAAATAAATTTATACTTTCCAGTGTAATTAAAATATAAATTGTCTAAAAAATAATTGTTGACCTGTAAAGGGCAAAAAATTCCAAGTAGTGTTAACTATATTTGTAGCTAAAAAGATTTTATGTGATTTTTGACAAAAGAAGAGCAAATGTGGTAGGTATAGTTGAACCAACTAATTGAATGCTTTGAAACAATTTGGATGCTTTAGGGTTCTAAGTTTTGTCTTGCCATGAAAAGATGCAGTCACATTCCTAACACTGTTATGATATAGGACTTCATGAGATCTCATCCTATGTGATAAAACCTGACACCATATCTGTATTTTTCAACTCTAGAGATATGCCAATAGAAGGAGTAAAGTGCTTATATTTTGAAACATTGTCACTCTAAAAATGAATGAAATGAACTTTCTTTCATTGACTAGTTATAATATTTCAGATAAAAGGAAATAAATATAATGAACTCTATATGTGTCTGTGATGAATTCTAGTTGGCAAAATTAAAAAAATATAGGTATATTTTAAAATCTTTTTGGACATATAGCTCTGGATTTTAACATATTTTCTGTCTGCCATACTGGAAATATTCGACATTGTTTTAGCCTTTCTCAGTACTGTTGAAAAATGAGCCCTTTGCCTAATTCTTTGCAAGAGGGTATAAGTACACTAGAAGATTTGGATCAAGTGGCTGAAAAATGTGATGTTTGAAATCAAAGTTTCTGATGTGATTGAGACCAATTTTGATGATAATTTTTACACTATACCTTTGAGAATGGGTGGTTGCAGAAAAATAGATAAACAGAGTCTCATTTCACTGTTCAGAAAGATGAGTGTTAATGTTTGCAAAGTAGCGACTGAGATATGGCAGCCTTATAGAACCCAGCACTTCTGAAAGATATGTTTTATTGTATGTTAAGGGAAGCTAGATCGCATACTCTTCTCAGTATTATTTCAAGTCTTACATTCACTTTAATTAGCAACCATCATTTCCAATGAATGATATTGGAAACTAGAGTTAGTCAATAATAGAACCTTCACAGGTGATTTATACGATTTTTTATTGTCCATTAAGCTTTGATGTATGAATTTAACAAAGACATTCATTTTTTAATGGCGATGAAAATGCACTCTGACCTGAAATATGAGTCTTGGAATTATGTTGTGAGTTTATGAAAGTGTGTGAGGTGCTGTCTTAATGTCCATCCCTGCATTATTTTCTAGAACCTTTTAAACAGATTGTTTGAATAACTTTGTTGCTTCTTCCCTAACCCCTGCACATCTATCCTATGAAGAGTTTCTTTATATTCCCTTTTCTTGTTTTTATGAATTATGGACTCAGGAAAGCTTGTTATTGACTCACTGAACATATTAAAACATGCAGACTTTGTTTTCAGCAACAGGAATGAACCTTTTTGGAATATGAGCATTTTTATTACTAGAACATTCTGAAGCATCCAAACTAACATATCTGTTGTTAATCACTGTGCAAATGAGTGAAGTTGACTAAGAGTGATCAGAAGGAATTTGTAAACATTGTTCAAGTTGTATTTTATGTGTATATTTATGTGTTCAAGTTGTATTTTATGTGTATATTTATGTGTATATTATGGGTACTTATGTTTCATAAAATGTTTAGAAGAATTTCTTGTTAACACTAGCAGTCTGGGAGGCTGAGAAAGAAGGATCAAACACTTAAGCCTAGACTGAACCATGTAGCAAGACTCTTGTCCCAAAATTAAAAAGATAAAGGGACAGATTGTGGATATAGCTTAATACAACACACAAACACACACAATTTAAAACATATAGAAATCAGTAGGTAATAATTTAGGAAAGTATTAGCCTCATTTACAGACTCTACTCTGATATAAACACTTATACATTCTTTAAAATTTAACAGAAGATGCTCCAGAAACTGTTGAAAATGTGTTATAAAATAAAATTCTTAGAAGTTCCAATATGCTAACGAATTCTGATATAAATATCTTCCTGGTAAATCCTGGTAATATAAATAATTAGTATGCTACCATAGTTAATGATACTATTAATTGAGTTTCTCTCATTCTACATTTATTTACAATTTAACTGTCCCTTCTTTATTTTTCCTCTTCCACAGTGTTAAAGAACCCAGTCTGTAAGTTATATAGATTTCCCACTTCTGACAATAAGTGGATGCAAATCCGGGAGCAGATGTCCGAGAGCGTTCTTTCTTTCCATATTCCTAAGGAACTGATTTCCCTTCATATAAAAGAAGATTTGTGTCGGTAAGAGAAAAATTTATCATTGTCCCTCACACTATTCATGTCTTTGCTTCTTTTTATTTTTAACCAACAAATTTAAAATTGTATTTATGGTGTACAACATGTTGTTTTGAAATATATTGACTAGAATAGCTAAATCAAGCTAATTAATGTATATATTATCTCATGCCCTTATCATTAGTTACTTTTAGAAAATTCCTCTGAAGCATTTTTCTTTGTATTTAAACACATTTTTCTTAAAGAAGGATAATACTATAAAACTCTACACTTTCACTGTCCACTACGATTGCCTCTAGGCCTATGTGCTATTGATCATTTGAAATACGACTATTCCAAACTGAGATGCTCTGTGAATGGATAACATGCATGAGACTTAGAATTCTTAGTTCGCACATTCAAATGATTTAATAATGAAATGTTAAGATTTTGGATATATTGGGGGTGAATTAAAGTTAATCTCACTGATTTTTCATTTTTATTCTTTAATTATGACTAAATGAAAATTTAAAATTATATATGATTCTCTTTTGTGACCTGAACTATATTTCTCGTGGACAGCTTGGCATGTAGCCAGTAACATGCACTGACTTACATTAATTCACGTGTCTTTATCTGCAGGTAGTAACTGTTACTTTAATTCCTATTTAAATTAGCAAACAATAGTGCTCACCTTGGAACTATTCATTTGTAGCAAGGCTTTAATATAGTTGTTGGTCTAAAATCATTAAAGATAAGTGATAAACATGTTATGTTAATGGACAATGTTGTTGTACAGCGAATAATTGTCTATAAAGTAAAAGGATTTCTGGGCTTATTGGTTGATAAGAATTTCTTTGAACCATGACTTAAATAATTTGTTTCTGTATCTTTTAAACAAACCCATAAATGACTTTAAAATTCTGAATACTATATTATTGTAAGCACATTTATGGCTCTAAATCTCAGATAACTGGAATTTTTTTTCATAATGAAAGTTCTTTAATCCATAAATGCACAGCAACTTCTAGGATTTTCTGCCTTACATTCATAATACTATACACAGTAGTTAATAGTACTGTTTCCCTTTGCTGGACTCAGATGTTCCCCAAGATTCCCTTTGATCTGCACCACCAATACACAGTAGACAGGTCAGGTGATATCTGTCAATTACTGACAAGATTGGTGACAGTAGGAGTAACTTCCCAAATACCATCTATCAAAGTGAAGAAAAAGAGAAACAGAATTTCAGGAAAGACTGGGCAGAAAAGCGGGGTAGCAAACGACCTACACCTAGGGGAACGAGGCATGAAGGAGGCCAGGGAGAGGGGTATTTAGAATAAGAGGAGGGAGATCAGGCCACAGATACCAGACAGCAAGTGTGGTCTGGGGGCAACACAAGCTAGGTCCGTGTCTAACAATCTTTTCAGACCATGCAGTTGCCAGGTACAGGGGTGAGTTACTGTGAGCCCAGGTGTTCTGACACAGATCTTTCCTATGTTCCCCACCTGTGAGTAGGGGATGACCAAAGCAAATTGCAGGAAGGATAAGCAGGTTTATGTGTTAGAGGAGAAGACTACAGAGTTTGGTTCTTTGAAATGGGGAAAGAATCGTCCTCAACACGACTGTCTTCTAGCCTGCTGCACTCCAAGAACTACTCCAACGAGCTGTGTGAGGATCACCGTTTTTGCTTGAAGTGATGTTGAGAGTGGCTAGTTTTCACAGGGCTTGTAGAGCAAGGAAGGACTCCAGGTAACCAGGTAGAAGCTGTAAACACATGACAGAACCTAGGACCTCTGTTCAGCTGAGAAACACAGAAGAGGGTGGCCAGAGGAAGCAGCGGTAAGAAGGAACAAATGGGCTTTCCTTACCCTGTGAAGAACATCTGAATAAGGGCACCTAATTTACCCAATCCTAGCTTTCCACTAAAATATCTAAAAAGCACACAAAATGGAATGCAATATTAGTCACAAAACAGAAAAAATATAGATATATCTCTATCTCTATCTATCTATATATTTAACATAACTAATTACAGGATGCTACTTTGGGGTTGAAAAATGTTATTTGACAAACCATGCATACTAATTCATTTAAAAATGTTACCAACTAGTGAGAGAAAGTAAGGAGAAAGAGCAATACCAGTGCCTCAGTCCATCTCTTGTCATCAATTTAGAGGCATGGCAAGGACCAGTCCGCTAGCCTGGGCCTGTCTGCTGCCTCTGAGTCCACCACAGTAATATCTGAAGCTCCTAGTCTTCTCTCTCTCCCACTGGTGTCTCTATGTCTCATCCCACCCTCAGGAGGATTAATGAGTGGGCAATAAAAATAAACAAACTATTGACTTTTGGTAGGTAGAGACCTTTATACTTTCTGTTGCTGTTTTCTTATTTTTCTTTTTAACACACAAGTGTTTCCCAGCTACTCTGTTCTCTCTCTCCCTCTCTCTCCTTTTTCTCCCTCTCTCTCTCTCTCTCACTCTCCCTTTCCCTCTCCCATCTCTCTTTTCCACATATATTCGGCGCAAAGATTTCAGTAACATATGGAAAAAACGGGTGAACAGTTCTGGTGGAAAAGAAGCAATAGTAGCTCCATATACAAAGTTCATTGTCAGTGAAAGTCCTAGAAAATAGGGTTATTTGTCACATTTCTGACTTATGAAATTGAACTATATAAAAACCCAACAAAGTGTGAAAATAGGTCAGAATTCTGATCATGAGTCTGTTTTCTATGGATTGGCTTTTTCTGATATTTTCCTGTACATTAGAATGCATTGAAAAATCCAACAATGAGCCTTTGAAATACTATAAAGGAAAGGGAGGAGAAAAATCACCTTGAAGACTCAACAGGGAAGTATAGCAAGATTGTAAAAAGGAAAAAAAAATGTTGACTGTTCATCTGAGTACAGTGTCAGAAGATGATTATTATGAAACAGGGTCAGATATCTATAAAAAAGAACCACATAAAAAGGAAAGAACATAAAGAAAATGGTAACAGAGGAAATAATGAAATTTTAAAGTGCGGCAGACAAATTAAGTCCACCGAGCTAGCAGAAAGTATTTGACACTGAGAAATCATATCAGTCATGTAGACGGCAAATAGAAGCCCTTTCTAAATGCTAAACAAAGGTGAAAAAACTCAAAAGGATGAAAGAGATATTAGATATGCTGTCCAAAGTGCTGGAAATTATGAAGTAACTTTCAGTATTAGAGAAGAGCACTGCATGTAAAAGCTTGAATGAAAACAGTGGATAGGTAGGTGAGTCCTTAGGGTTGTTTGTTTGTTTGCTTTTGTCATTTTGTTTTTCTCTATCATGAGCTAAGGTCAGTTTTACCTTTACTTCTCTGCAGAACTGAGTGGCCAGAACTAGTGAAACAGCGTCTTGTGATTCCTCAGAGGGACAGGATATGTCCCTACCTTATTATTTAGGGTCAGATTATGAAATTTTTATGAAAGAAGGCAGTAGAAATGCCAACCTTCAATATTCAGGAGCTCAGCAAATGTCACTCACAAGATTGTCTTGAAAAACCTGCTTGAAGATACATGGTCATCCAATGGAAAAAAAATTTAAAAGGAGAACCTATTAACATTGCATTATAAATTAAGATAACACTACATTATAAGATTAATATGTAACATAATATTAAAATTGAATTAAGAATGTAAAAATGGAAGGTCCTTCAAAAGTATTTGAAGCTTTTTTTTTTTTTTTTGATGAGATGGAATCTCCATCCAAGGCAAAATTCTGAAGTTCTTTTCTCAATGACTCTTTCATTGCTTGAATTCAGATTCCAGAAATGGCTTCGTTTGCTCCATTTCTCATGCTGCTCACCACTCGGATGCTCTCTCTTACTGGTTTGGATGAAATGCTTGGTTTCCCTGCTTGGAAATCTTCCCTGGGAGAATTAGCAAACAAAACTCTGAGATTCTTTAGGAAAGCTAAATTGTTTCTTAGGCAACTTTATATTCCAGTCATTTCCATGGACAGGGTCATAGAAATTTTTCTACGTTTTATCAATAGGAATAATTTATGACCCTTTAAAATAAACATCATCAGAAGTATATCATTAACTTTTTGTTTGAGTATAAGCCAATATAGCAAATATAAACTCACTGTGTCCCTTTCCATATTTTGTTATGTATAAAGTCTGAGGGAGACATGAGACGTGATCAAAAACTATTTTGAATGTGTAAATATTAAACAGTTTATTGCAGTAACAGTCCTATTTCCATGAACCCCTCAAAATACTCACCCTCACTTCCGCACACTTATCCCCTTATTCTTTCTACTTTCTGACTGCAAGCAGTTCTAGAAATCCTCTTTCTTGACTGCTTTAAGTTACATTGTTGTGGCTGCATCAATGTCCAAAAGCCATTTAAAACGTTTACTCTTCATGGTCATTTTGACTTTGGGGAAGAACCGGAAGTTGCAGGATGTCAGATCTGGTGAATAAAGTGGATGAGAATCCATCACAGTGATTTTACAAGCTGCAGTCAGCAGCAGCATCCCATATTTTTGATCAAACTCCATATAGACATGAAAGAGAACTTCCTGATTTGTTTCAGAAAGTGGCAAGAACAATGAGAGGACAGTATTCTGAGTGTGATTACTGGCAATGTGTCTTTTAATGTAATATTTTCTAAAATATTTAAACACAACTTTTGATCAACCTTGTAAACAGATAATTGGCTAGAATAATACCCTTTTGCTCTAAAAAGTAGTTGATAAAATATGAACTCAATTATGCCCTGTGTCAGGAGTCAGTAAAAATTTATTCTTATAGGCTCAGTGAAGGTGTTTTTGTTTTTCTCAGAATAAATGATCTCTGTAACCACCAATTAGTTTTACCATTGTAGCACCAAAATACTTATAATAAAAAACTTTTCAATGAATACATATAACTATGATTCATCAAAACTTGAGTTTCAAAAGTCAGACTTGTCTCAGGGTTACATGATGATAAATTTGCAAACATAATTTAAATCTATGAAGTCTGGATTTTTAAACTACTAGACTTTCTTTTCTG